TGGTTTAGCGTCCTGTGTCAGCCGGTAGGCTATATAAGACGTGCAGGCTGGGCCTACAAGTATCTACGTAGTTCTATCAATTTGGTGTTGGTGGGGGAGGGGGCTATCTAAATCGAGGTGAGGCTCGTAGCCTAAAGGTTTTTGGATAAATTACTATACTTTCTGAATATACCTAGCGGGTAAAGCTGTGGTCGATCTGTGGAGCTGATAGAGAAGTTCCTTCTACGAAAACTATCTGAATTCAAGGTTTTGCAATACGACTGTACTTCATAAGTATTGAACTTTGATACATTTACCCTATTTGTGTTCTAGCAGCCTCATTCGCAATAGATTTGCCGTTCTGTTGTGCCGAGTGGCTTTCCCCACACTGACGAATGCATGCCGAATCTGCGGGGGTGGCGCCACTTCCGCCCCTACCTAATCATGCGGGCGAACCAAGGCCAGGGAACCGTCTCGGAGGAGCTTCTTGTTTCACTCGGTAATCTTCATTCCGCGCTTATCCGAACCAGAAGCGAAAGTCGTGCGATTTCATCAACTCACCGACTGTGTTGGAAGTTGAGACAAATATGAAACCGCGAGATGGCATATCAAGTAAGAGCTACAAGATCGCAAAAAGGTCACGCGTAAGCAGAGCTGCGATCAGCTCCGACCGTTGTAAGACGCGCAAAACGAAGGTAATGGTTCGGATGAAGGCCTGTTCAGAACATGTTCCTAACTGAAAATCCAGTGCAATAAACCCAGTATGTGAATGTTGGTTCATTCAGACTCAGGAGACAAGTTAATCTTTAGCCGAGATCCCGATGGCCCTTGTGATTACTGCCGTAGCATAGAGGAGATTTGTTCGGTTGACTTGAATAAACGAAACCAGAGGCCGTTCTACTATGTGTCAGAAGAGGAATATCGTCTTCTGTGCGAACTATGTAGCTACTGCTTCCCTGGTGAAGAGCTAACTACATCAAACCTACGAAGACTTGTATCGGAACAGAAAAAAGCGCTATCAAGTAATCAGGCAGACATCTCGACCCCAAACATCACCATTGTTGAGCGGATCCCAACTCATACAAGCAACCCAATCGACCAAAATACCATACTGCCACGGAACCGCACGAAAAACCAGACAGAGCAACAATCTATCCTGTTGCCTGAAATTGTTAATCTCCGTCACGATTTAGGTTGCCTGATGGTTGACGCTCATGGTGAATATCGTAAACTGCTCTGTGATAACCTTGTCGGCCATAGAATCTTATCAAATCAATAGGCTACATAGGAGCCGAATCCGGCATCAGTTCCAACAGTGCCGTGAGGTCATGGATATTAAGAATGGGACCAGAATCCAAAAAGAAGGAAAGGGACAAGATACCTCCGATGTTGAAAGTCCTACCACCTTCCGTCAAATCTCCATTTACAGGTGCAGCTTTATCTAACGGAAGCCTATCCCAGCTTCCATCCCAGGATCTTCTATCCGCATGTGTGGCTTGCTTTTTTGAACAGATCCACAGTTTGTATTGGATATATTCTTCCGAGTCATTCTACACTACACTAAACTTGAAGCGACCTATGCTGGCGACTTTGGACAGTTAAGTGCTCCATGGCTCTGCTCCCTGAACAGCATAGTGGCACTATGCGTGTCATGTGATCCCTCCCACAATGGGCTGTACAACAGTCAACAGGCACATAAATCACTAGATATGGCAAAACACCTTGTGCCGCAGGTTTGCGACAAAGCTGACTCGGACAGTGTGCGAGCATTGATAGTGTTGGTGAGTCCCATGGCTTGAGATTTTTGCGCCAGATTCGGAATGCATAACTGACTGAGTCTGGATACCAGTCTTTGGCCTTCCAGTCGAATGGATTTACGAATTCTGCTTATTTGCACGTTGGACTCGCTGTCCGCATTGCTTTCTCTCTTGGTCTACACGTTAACAAGCAACACACACCAAAAAACACCAACTTCAAGTTTCCTAGAATAGGTGTAATTTTAGCTAAATATATACAAATCTCTTATACAATATCGTTTGCGACTACTCTTAAAGCGTGCATCTAGCGC